GCGATGCGAGGAGTGCTCGGGAGAGCTCCTTTTCTCTCCGGCTGTCGGGCCGCTCCCAAATTGCTATCTTCTTCCCTTCTTCCAGGCGGCAGCCCCGTTTCCTCCCTCTCGGCATCCAAATGCTCCCGGAATAGTCTCGCCGCGTCAAATTCCCCGTCCGGAGTGTATCCAAACTTCGAAACTCACCTACCTCCGGATCCTCCGAGGGGGAGCCAACCGGGCGCCTCGCTGGCTACGTCGATCCTCTCGTCGAGTCGGCGGGGAGGGATTATACCAGGGTATATCGCCGATTTCCGAAATTCCGCCCCTGCGTTTTCGATCGTCTTCTCTCCCGGGCTTCCGTTTGCCGACGGGGCAGTCCTTTAGTCCCGGCCTCCTCGGGCGGATCGTCGGCGCGGACCTTCCGTATATCTCCGAGTGGCCGTTTCCTCCCTGCGGATACGACGCGGGGCTCGCCGTAAAAGTTTCCGCATTGACTTTTACCGGTTACTCCGGAACTGCCGGCCCGTTATACCTTCCTTATGGATGTCCATCTTTAGTACTTTCTGCTCCAGTTCTTCCCGGGAATACTGGGAATAATCTTTACGCGTCGGTCCCGAGTGCCCGTACCCAAAGTTCTCGGTCCTCGAGAGCTCCGAGCCAACCGGGGCTTCGATGATAACCTCCGTATCGAGTTCGTTGTTCCGGCCGCCCCGATAATCCCTCCGGATCGTTATACTCTAATTCTCTGTGAATTAAAACCGAGGAGGAGCCGTTTTCCGTTAATCGCCTTCATTGTGCGCCGGTAATTAACGGTCAACGGATCGCAACTTTTCTTTCGCTCCGCGTTGGATCCGCCCGGGGCTCGTCGACCCGAGATCGCGAGGGGTTGGAGGCGTCGAGGACGTCGACGACGTCTTCCCGGTCCCCGGATTAGTACGCAAAGTCAACGGAGTCAGTCGAGAATACCTTTTAAATCTCGACGAAGACCATAATCTCTGGGAAAATCCTCGAAATAGATTCGTTATTCTCGCTCGGACTTACGTGTCCTCCCATTGTTTGCGTAAGCCGTCTTTCCTCTCGTGCTCCCCATGAATATTCAGCTGCGGCCGTTGTTCGGCGCGAGCCCCCGGAGAGAGCGACATCGAGGGAGGACGTCAAGACGAGTCCCTTTAAAGAGGACGCCTCGCGTCAACGACGCGGCCGAAACGGCGGAAAAGGCCCCGGGTCGATCGCAACTCGCGAATCGCGAGGGCGCGGCCACTCGAGCCGACGAGCGGATGGGAGCGGTTGCTCTTTCGAGGGGTACTCGACGTCGAGGTAGCGGTAACGGGGTGTACATTGTGCGAGGGTAAGGGCCGAGGAGGCGGGCGGGGCTTCGGACGGGAGATTGGCTCACGTCTTGGAATCTCCACCGATAGCATCGCCTCCTCCGGGGCTCTCTCCGGGTTCGGTCGGGCGGTATCCACCCGGATGGGGCCATCGAGTCGCGGTCCGACCACCGACCGGAGACGGTATGTGGATCACGTGGCATCCACGTGGATTTCCCATCGAGGAAAAATGAAGGAGAGTAGCGGACCTCTCTCGACCGGGACGGAGAGGAACGAGCGCCCGTGTCGTCGTTTGTCGCAGTTTCGGGCAAAGTTCCGCGTGAGCTATTAATCGCGAGGAAGGGAGCCAGGATGCGGTGGGTTCTAATTTCTCGAGTCGAGGAGACGTCCCGACAGCCGACCCGTGCTCCGTCGACGGCTCGGAGAGGGTTCCCGTTCATCGGCAAAAGAGTGGATTTATAGGCTCGGACGATGGGGCGGAGGACCGCGTAACACCTAATCGACGTCGGCAGAGGACGGGTACGCGGGCGAAAAAGATAAATGGTCCTCGAAGCGGCATTTCGGATTCCCCGCGTACGCCGGGACGACTAATTGGACGTCGCCAAGGATTCCCGGTGGCGAAGTCTCGGGATTTTCGAGGGGCTGTCCTCGATAACGAACGTCCCCGATACGGCCCGTTTTCCTCGGGGAATCCGGTGGGGACCGGGATCCGAGAAGGACGGTGAACCTCGTAAATACGTTGATCGGGAAAAAGGAAGCTAATAATAAGAGCGCACCGGAAAGGTCGGGAATTAGGAGGCCCCGGGCGACCTCGTTTCTCGGGACCCGGAAGAGCCCGGATCACCGGAGCAACGTGCCCCATCTTTGGATCGTACGTTACAATTTCCGTTTATAGTCCTGGAAGAAGGAAGCCCACTCCGCGGAGAGCTCCATTAGTCGAGCTTTCCGCGGAGTGGTACGTGAGAAAATTCCCTGACGAATAAAACCGGGAGCTCGCGCTCGCACGTGTAATACAGCCGGAATCGCTAAACCAAAGTTATACCCCGGCGGTAATGCGGGAATAATGGCGAACCGCGGAATTACCGCGCCGGACGACTCCTCCGCAACCTCCGCCATCGGGCTCGATTAATTGAACTCGCGTTTCCCTCGGGGGTGGGACTCGTCTCGAGGGCGTTCCTCGACTTTTTCTCCCGAGGGAGAAGAGAGTGGCGTGAAATTTCAGGCGCTTCCGCCCTCCCGGCCGCGACCCCTTTGCCGACTCGATCGAAACCGCTCCTCCCGGGAGAAACGAGTCCAAGATTCCTCCCGGAAGAGTCCCTTCCGCCGCGGAGGCCGCTCCGGAGGGAGCGGATTCCGGTAATCGGACCTCCCGGCCTCGAGACTCGCTCCATTTTCCGGAGCTCTTCCCTTCCCCGGCCCCTTATGAAATTTACGCCCATTGTCGATCCGCGGACGGACTCTTTCGCCTCTCGGAGGACGAAGAGGCGTTTCCGCGGCTCGGCCGCGGACCGGGTGAAGCGGGGGCATCGACCAAATATGCTCCGCCATTCCGAAGTTACGCAGGTGCCCCGGAGCGGAAGACGCCGCCCGAAATTGCGGCCGTTTGACGTCCGGACTCGTGACATATCTCCGGACGCGGAATGGCTCGTAACGAGATCGATGCGGTTTATAACGCCGCGCCCCACTTGCCGTTAACGGAGAGAAACGGAGGAGGGAGGCGAGACTCGGTAAAAAGCAAATATCCCGGAAGTATGTCCGCAATGCAGAAATGCAATACCATTCCGAAGTTATGCGGCGAACGGGAAATATGAACCTCCCTCCGCGGCGAGGGCGAGAGAGGGGCGCCGGAGGTTCGATCGGCCGAAAATTGGCTCCGGTCCGCCTAGAAAGTGAGGATTAATTCCGCCAGGTAGGGAACTCGATCCCGATCTCCCGGGAAGAGTGGACGTCCTTAGGATAAGAATTCCGGACGCGGAATCGCCAGGAACGAGATCGACGCAGGGGCGAAGAGCGAACATCGCGGAAATATGCCCGCAATGCGGAGACGCGCGTCGACTCGCGTCCTTATATCCTAGTGGACCTTCCTCGTCGGCGAATTACTGCCGCTCGATATCTTCGGACGGTCGCCCGAGAGATTGGCGCTATCTACCGCGGATTCGGCGGGCGTTTCTCTCGCGGACGTTCCCGAGCGGAATTCTAACTGGAGCCGTTAGTGGAGGATTTCGGATCGGGACTTGGGAACTTCCGAGTTCGGCTAGCTAACTTTGCCGCCCTTTAAGATGGACTTAAGCAAATGTAACGAGGAGCTGGGGGCTTCCCTGGAATTACAGCCGTGCCGCAATTTGCATTGTGCCCTTTTCCGCGGCGTTAGTCCGGAGCGTTTGAAAAGAGCTCGGCCGAGTCGATGCTTTGAATTCACCTACGCCCCAGAGGAAAGATTCACTTTGCCGTATTTTTAACGCGGGGAACGAGCTCGCGATTACTTAGCTCGAATTAAACCGCTCCTCCCCGTTTCCGTGTCCGTCTCCTTACTCACCTAGCCTCGCAACGAAGACGCGTCCCGGGTCTATTTCAGGGTGAAACGCGCGACACGCCGTCCGTGGGTTTTTGCCCCGTTCGTCCTCGATCGTTTGACTAGCCGGGCCGAGTTGGAGGCGTCCTAATTAGCATGTAATTACGCGCGCGGACGCGCCTCGACGGGGGATCCGCCCCCGCGATATAATAATCGTTCAAAGTCGGATGAAGCGGAAACGCTCCTCGGCTCGTTAATTCACCTCTTTCCATCGGAAACCGGCGTCCTCGAGGATTCGTTCGTTCGACCGGGCATCCGGTAATTCCCTGACGATGATTCGCTTATCGTCGGTCGTTCATTTATTAAACCGCGCCCCGGTAAATCGGTATATCCTGCTCTCCGCGTTATCAAAATGCGTCGCCCCGCTCGTTCGGGATAACCAAATTCATAATTTCAAGCAGACCGCCATACCGCGGCCTGGGAAATTAATAAGCGGCCGGACCGCGGGACCGTTCGGTCCGACTTTTGCGTAGAGCCGGGCTATTATTCAAAGTGAAATAGTTACGGGGGAAGAAATCTCCCGACGGGAGGAATCCTGCGATAAGTGAACGATAAAACGATAACGGCGCCCTGGCGAGAATTTATCCCCGAGATAACGATTTTCTCCATACTGGCTGCCGGCCAAAAAACTTGCGCTTCGTCTTCATTGTTTTTCCGTGTATCAACGATCGACCCGACGAGCTCGGGGAAATTAGTTCCCTCGGCGCCTGGCCGCGTCGCCGATTACCCGCCCCGGAACGACCGGGGGATTCGGCAAGACGCGCGTAGCAATTTCGTCGCTTATCAATTTTCTAGCGACCCCCTGACGAGAGGACCGTTTCCCTGAATGCGACGAAGAAAAAAAAATTGCATCCTGTTGCATTCACCGCGTATCTTGCGCGAGGGGGGCGCGTATGAGGCTAATTTAAAATTCATTGACCACCAGCGGCATTCACGTTGATGAAAACGCGAAAGGGTGGTGGGTTTTTTTTAACTACGCCATTCACCGGGCCAGACTCCTTGCCGCGAGGAGGTAATTTCCATTTTTTAACACCAATTGCGAGCGGCCCCGGTCCCGGCTGCGGAATCGCAGGAACGCGGCGAATCCTAAATCTCGGCGGCTTTTCTTCCAGGTTGACGGATGCCGTTGAGAAGCGACGTCGGGCGTCCTCGCCCCCGGTGAAGGGAGCCGCCGTGGTCCTGCCGGGTCGATGTGCCAGGATGTGCCCGAGCAGTAGCGCGTGGTGCAGGCGGATCCTCCTGGGGACCGTCCTGTCCTGGGTGGCCGCGGTCCAGGGCTGCCCCAGCATGTGCGCCTGCAAGTGGAAGAGCGGGAAGGAGTGGGTGGAGTGCGCGAACCGCGACCTGAAGGGGCTCCCGCAGGGCGCCCGGGAGGAGACCCAGGTGCTGGACCTGTCGGGGAACCAGCTGATCAGCCTGCCGGCCGAGTGCTTCCGCGCCCTGGGCCTGACCAACCTGCAGAAGCTGTACCTGAGTCGGTCGCGCATCGGCGACGTGGACGGCAGGGCGTTCGTGGGGCTGGTCGGCCTGGTGGAGCTGGACCTCTCGGAGAATCTGATCGACGGGGTCCCCTCCGAGACCTTCGCGTCCTACCCCAGCCTCATGAAGCTGATGCTCAACGGCAACCCCATCCGGGAGATCCGGCGCGAGGCGTTCCGGCCGCTGATGCATCTGACGAACTTGGAGCTGCGCCAGTGTCAACTGGAGACGGTGGAGCAGGGGGCCTTCAACGGATTGCCCTCCCTCGAGTGGCTGAGAATGGACGGCAATAAACTAACCCACGTCCCCGACGTGACGCTTCCGCTGGGCGGCAATCTCCACGGGCTCACCCTGCACAACAATCCCTGGGCGTGCGACTGCCGCTTGCGATCGATGCAGACCTGGCTGAAGGAGACGGCGAAGCCGATGCCCCAGGAGTCGGAGCCGGTCTGCGCGTCGCCCGCCAGGCTGGCCGGCAGGCAGGTCAAGGCGGTCAAGCTCTCCGACCTGGCCTGCCCGCCCCGGATCCGGCTCCAGGAGCGGGTCGAGGTCTACGAGGGCGCCAACGTCACCCTCGCGTGCGACGTCCACGCCGTGCCCCCGCCGGAGACGGTCACCTGGTGGTTCAACGGGGAGACGTACGAGACGCAGGCCGGCAACGACACGGCCTCCTCGCTCGCGAGAGTCAGGTACGACCCGTCGTCGGCCACCGGCCTCTCCGGGAGACGTAAAACTTCCCGCCGGCTTATTTACTCGCCCTCCCTAAGGTAGATTCGAGCAAACGAACCCGGGTAACCCGGGTAACCCTGTTCCAGATACAACTACAAGCAGCGCGGCCCGACGAACGTGACCAGCATGCTCCACGTGTACAACCTGGTCCCGGCCGACGAGGGCACCTACACCTGCGCCGCGGAGAACGGCGCGGGCGCCTCCGAGGCGAACCTGTCCCTGAGGGTGCTGCTGCAGGAGAGGCCGACGGAGGAGCCGCCGGCCGACCAGCCGGGCACCGGGTACGTGGCCGCCGTCGCGGCCGGCGCCCTCGTCGGCACCCTGCTGGCCCTGGGCTGCGCCCTGGGCGGCCTCCTGCTCTGCACGCGCCGGCGGAGCGACCGCAAGCGGAACGCGAAGCCGCTGGTCTCCCCGGACAAGAGCGCGACCCCCGGGGCCAAGGACCCCACGAGTCTGTCGGGCAAGGGCAACGGCGAGCTCGCCTTCGAGCACCGGCAGCAGCAGGCGGGCTACCGGGACCGGACGGCCGTCCTGGAGCACGGCGGAGGCCTCGCGGAGGCGGTCCAAGGCCCCCCGGGGACCAAGTACCTCACGGAGCCCGACCTGATCAACGAGGTGCCCGAGGCCGCCGAGAGCTACGGCCTCTACCAGCACCGGCGCGCCGAGTGCCAGCTGCTGGAGTACGACTCGAGGTACACGATCCACCCGGACCTGCGCCCGGCCCTGGCGCAGATGAGCTACCTGGACCAGGACGGGTATCCGCTCAACTTCGGCCTGCCGAAGATCCCCTTCAACGGGGCCAGCACGCTGCCCCGCCGGCAGCGGACCCTGGAGGGCTCGGCGGCTGCCCCGGCGGCGCGCTACTCCCGGGAGGCCGAGTTCCTCGCCCGGACGATCCCCTACGAGGCGGTGCTCCCCCGGAGCGACACCAGGTACACCGCCGAGGGCTACCCCTACCCGGCCGGGCCGCCGCGGCAGCTGCAGGTCTCGGCGGCGGTGTCGCCGATGTCGCCGATGTCGCCGATGTCGCCGGAAGCGCCCTTCGTGCCCTCGCCCCCCGCCGCGTACCGCGGCGAGCCGACCCCGCTGTCGCCCCGTTCGCTCCTGGGGAAGACGGCGCGCGAGGCCAGGGCGGACGGGCTTCCCCTGCCGCCCCCGCTGCCGCCGCCCCCCGACCACGCCGAGAGCCCCGACGAGGGCTACGTCGGCGACGCCATGGACGTATGAGGACCGCGGACAGCCGCGACTCCGGTGCCGAGGTCGCCGTAGGGTCGGTTAGTATACGGTCGTAGTCGTTGCGGGTGCTGAAAGTCTTCAAAGTGGATTCGTCGGGAGGACCGCGGCCGCTATTTTTTCACAGGGAAAGCGATCCGCGGCGTCTCCGCGCGCGGCCCGCCGTTCCTTTGGACCTCGCGACGAGAGACTCCAGGGGCGGCTGACGTTTTCAACCGATTCCAGCGCGCGGGGCCCTTCGAGGAAGACGAACGCGAAGGGGCACCGTGCGCGGACCCGATTCACAGGGTATAGAAGCATCCGTAAAGTTAAGCGTAGAGCTTGGACGATGCACGTAGCCGTTGTACATCCGCTAGTCATGAAGCACCGTGCGCGAAACAGGATTAAGACCCCTCGCCGTTTTTCCGCCACTCTCCTGACCTCGGTTGGCGTCTCCCTTCGAAGAAGAGCCTTTGGTACCTTTGCATCCAGTCCGCACCGTTCGATTACCGCGTCGCGCGCTCTCCCCAGGTTCCTTTACCCCTCGGTTCCCTCTCCAAGGTTGCGTCTAGGAGGAAGGTGCAAAGCACGCGGTCGTTTCGCGTCCTCTTTACGTCCCTAAAACGACGGGGGTCCTTTTTTCGATATTCCCGAGGGGAGGAAATTTTGATAAATAAACGTCCCCTTGGGTCGCGACGCCTCGGGTGGACGGGTGCTTTGAAGGTCTTGCGCCGGACGGGGCACTGCGGTTTCCACTTTGGAGTTGGCAGTTCCAAGAGCGCGTCCCGAGCACGGCTCGCGTCTTAACGATCGCAGTCGAGACCCGAAAGGCTCCTGATAGCTTTTGCCGGTTCCTGGGACGGTCGTTTTCCCCCGGCCACTCCGCGCGCATCGGATCTCATTCGGTTCTCGCGAATACCCGGAGACCGCTTTCTCCGCAAAGGACGAACACGAGTAGAACCGTAGCACATATCCTTGCATCTTCTCCGGACGATCCACCGGGTTGCGGTATCCTATTTTTTTTTTTTTTTTTTTAACGCGCGCGCAACTTTTAACGTTTGGACGCACCAGGAGCTGGGGAACGACTTCCTCGAGGGCAATACCGCCAATGAACGGTCCCGGAGATTAAAGACGGGTTGGGTTTTTCAAGCGGACGGCAAAGGGGATGATTTTAGCGGAAAGTCTGTCCTCGAAAACGACAAGAGTGTATACGTCGCATGATAAAAAAAAGAGATACGCACGCACATAGAAACATTGAGAGCACTCGTGCAAACAATGTCGGAATGAAATATCGGAATGTGACGAACTTCCACCCTCCCCGGTGCGCGTTGTTTCTATATCGACGAACGGACGGACGGGCAAAATACTGCTCGAAATAATGTTTTATTCAACTTGGGACGGACGGCCGAACCGATTCGAAATTGCAAGACGGAGCGAAAGGTTTTTCGATGTTTTCCATCAGCGGCGATCGAGAGGGAGAAACTCGAAAGAAAGAGGAAACGCGGGCACGGCGTCGCTCCTCGGGGTGTTTTCTATTTGAATTAAAGCCGACAGGATTTGACGGAAGCATTTCATTTGCTTTATCCTCGTGTCCGCTTAGTCTTTCTGCCGAGTTTCGTTTCCTCCGTCCGGAGTAGACGCGTTAAACGTCCGGACATTTTTTAAAGTGGATATCCATCCCCCGGCTATTCGATATCACGGAAACAACGAGCCCGTCGGTTAGGAGGTAAGCACGGCGTAGGGGAAAATGACATTCGGATTGTCTGGTTTTCCCGAGCATCTCGCCTTTTCTATTTGACGAGGGAAGAACGACCGTCGTATATTTCTTTGTATAATCGTGCGCGCGTGCATTTCGGTTTTCCCGTTAAAACAACGTACACAAAGTATATGATAACGACCCCTGACATGTACTCACTGCCGCGATGCCGGCTGATAACCAGCGATCGCGCAGACGGTCTAAAGTATTAACCGAGCGGAGGTATTCTTTTTTAAGGATGTAGATAATACGAGAGAATGAAGTAGCACGCTGTATCGCGCAACTACACGAAATACATTGTTAGAACATGAGGTTTCGAGGCGGTTGTTTCGTCGACCCTCGCCGTTCTCCAAAGGACCTTTCCTCCTGCCTGGATAACCATCCTCGATCAGCTGATTATCCCATTCAAAATTCCCTCGTGCCATCTTTAGGGGATTGCGGTTATATTAAACTCACGGAACCGTGTTTGGTGTGATGTTGCCGTTCAAGAGGGATGTCTCACGGAATCTTCACCTCGGAACTCTACATGGAGCACCCAGGTGATGGCCGGATACTCTACGAGGTCTCAACCCGAAGAAAGCGGGGCATCCACTTTAAGCCGTAACCTGGAAAATGAAATAGAAAAGTAGGACGGACGATTTCTACCGGGGCGGGGGCGGAGGAGGAAGTATTCCGCGCCCGGGGCCGCCGCGTGCGCGGATTCGGGCGAATCCCACGGGGACTCCGGATATCCCCCTGGGTTCCGATTGGTCTCACCCTCCGGCGAGATCGGGCGATTTTCCTTTACGGACTCGCGACTTCCTTCCGAGCGAGCGCACCTCGTCCAGGGTGGCTCGGTTCGCCCCTTTGCCCCACAAAGGAAGGCGCCGGACCAACTTCCGCGCCTCCGTTTCCGCTCCGGCGCGCAATCCGGCCCTTCCCTCGGTTTCCCGAATTCGGTGCCGCGCCTCTCGCCGACTTCCCGGGACGGTTTTTCCCCCGACTCTCGTCCGGGCGCGGCGACATGTGCCGAAAAGTCGTAGGGAGGTTTACGGCCCCTAAAGCCGGGGCCGCGTTAATTCCGCGCGCGGTCGACGGCCTTGGCCCGAGTGCCGGGAATCGTTTCCTGCCTATTTTCCGGCGTCTCGCCGGGAGACGGCGCGGATCGAGTTTTCCTTCCGGGGGCTCGAAGGAGGGTGGTTTTCCCCAGCCCCTCCCTGCCTGGAAGTCGACTTTGAGAAATGACCGAAATCCCCGTACCTTCCGGCTCGATTCGGAAAGGGGAGCTCTCCGGGCGTCGGGCGAACTCAGCTCGTCGGGGTCCTCGAGACTCCGGTCCCCGGGGAGGCCTCGCCGACCGCGAGGAAACGGCGCGCAAATTGCATTTCCTCTTAATTCCGGCCACGTAGACGTAATTCGACGGGTTCGTGGATTTTTCTCCGCGGTCGGCGCCGTTTAGCCGCGCAGCGCGATCGCGCTTTTCGCGTACCCTGGCGAACCGTGTTCGGGATGCTTGGTCCCGATCGTCGATTCGCAAAGCTATCGCGCTTCCTGGCCCAATCCGACGCGGATTTTTAAAAACCCCTGCCACTGGAACGGTTAAGTAACCCTCCCCGGAAGATAATATCGAGCCGCTCCCTGGGGCAAGGCGATTCCCAAACACGGAAAGTCCCGTGCAAGTCGGATTAAACCTGGCACCCGGGTACCCTCGTCACGTAAAGGAGCCAAGGAGCACTCGTCGGTGCCTACGAGGCATTACGGGCACGCGATTCCGGAATTTTTAATAAGACCTACGTGCATACGATTACGTCCCTCGCACGAAAGCTCTCCTCGATGAATTCGGAAAAATTCTATATACCTTTCTTTATTGGGCGCAGGCATCTAGCCACCATTGGTTACTCACCTGTCCCAAATGTACGACTCAATTCCCTATCGCGCGTTTTGTCAGCCATCGGTCACTTGGCTGTTTGCTCGCATGAAACGCGTGTTGGAAGAAGTGACTTCGGTCCTCCCAATGTTTGCTCCCGATTTCCAGATACCGGAGTCCTGCTTCGAGGTGTCTCCCTCTTCTCCACTTTGGGGTACGAATGTCGAGAGAACGGTCTACGCGACATACCATTTCCTGAAAGGAAAAAAAGTTCACAAGTTTCAAGGGAACCCTGGAAAAGAGACCGTGCATAATAACCAACCGTTAAATGTTCCGAAGTCGTTAAACGAGTGCTCCACTGTGTTTGCATTAAGTTCCCGAAATGAATTCCAAAGAGATTCTTTTTTATCCCTCCGAGGGAAATATTCTCGGAGGAGAGCGTAATAGTATTCCATAGTGGGGAGAATTCTACGGTTGATTAAAATGTTCTTCCTCGATAACGGAGGGAAAGGGTTGATAAAGGTGCAGCGGAGGACCCAGAGGAGCCGACGAGTTAAAAAAAGAAGAGACACCTTGTCTGGTATCCTACTGTTTTATCTCCGTAATACTACTTTGCACTGCATCAAATATGTCGTGGACTTGGAGATGCATTGGATAGAGCGATTAATATGGTTCGTCCTTTTTATCTCCTCGGCTGGGTGCGCCATTGTGGTTATATACCTGCTATCGATGAGATTCGAGGTAACCTTCACCCCGGTTAATGTTTCGTTATCGATTCTAATAAGACCCTTAACTTGGATAGGGGGAAATAGTTTAATCGCGTTAACGCTAACTAGTTATTAAATGTTTCCAGGAGGCGCCAACATCTACCGTAGTGGAGACGACGAATTTCAAAATTTCAGCGGTGCCTTTCCCGAGTGTCACCATTTGCCCGACTAATCGCGTGGATTGGGAAAAAGCTATCCAAGTGGAAAGTAAATACGTACCGAGCCACGACCCGGAAACAATTGCCACCTTCAGAGAAATCCTCACTAAACTGTCCACGATTACGTTCGGAGACTTCGAGCACCTGGCCTTTTTAAAAAATCGCTCGTTGCGAGCACTAGCCGGTAACTGATCTACGTTTCAAATCAAATGAAAAAGCCCTCTCTTGTCGGCGATGTGTCGCCACCTGGCGGTCGTTTGCTAAAACTGGTACCCACTCCCCTCCTTAACGGCCAGGATAAAAGTTACCTATATCGTTCCCGCCTTGGTCGGTAGTTTACCTCGCGACGTTACCAACCGCTACCAGAGACGAGTTAGTAAATTACCCACGGTGGCGAACATCGCTTCGAACCCCTGTATCTCCCTAAAAAAAAATCCCAAACGTAAAACGTACTTCTTTTTCACATCAGGTATTAACGTAACGCAAGTGCTATTGGATGTTACACCAAATTGCCAAGACGTATTTTCATCCTGCTGGTGGCGAACATCTTACAGAGAGTGTTGCGAGATACTGGAGCTACAGAAAACAGAATACGGTTTCTGTTACTCTTTCAACTCCAATAACTCCATGAAGTTCCGCGGCACATCTTGGAACAACGAAGATCGGTCGAAAAGAGTTACCGAATACGGTAATTGGAGCGGTGTGCGCCTTAAAGTACACTTTGGTAACATTACCCAACCACCTGATTCTAGTAAGTGCATAACTTCATCGGAGATTGCAAATTTGCATTTTCAAAGTAATCCTTTACAAGGTCGACAAGTTTGAAGTCTCCTGCAAAGTATGCCTTGACATGTTTATTATCCGTACTCACAAATTATCCTCTATAAAGAGACAACTCGTTGCATCGGGCTTCACTGCAGCGAAAGGGTTAGAAATATATTAATAATATCTACGCGCGTTTAAGATAATCATCGAGGGATCATATTGAGCATATATCAACCTGGAGCATGGCCAAACGGCGGTCATTTAATTGCAAATGGAATGGCAGTTGACGTGCCTTTGAGATGCACTTCTGGATACGCAACGGAATCGGTATTAGGACTGGGCGATAACAGAATACCCTGTAAACCAGGAGGCAGGAACAATTACAATCGCGAGTACTGCCTCTCGATGTGCAAGCGGTCATACGTGTACAAATACTGCGGATGCAATCCTTCTTTTTTCTTCCCCCAGGGTACGCAGTCTTTACGAGAACTTGGAAATTCCTCCGTATCGATATTTCCAGTTAATAGTTTAATATCATAATAAATATCTTTCACACTTATCCAGATTCAACTAACGAGTGCACCATTGAAGATTTCGTTTGTTTGACGAAACATAACAGTAAGTACTGCGTACGGGTTGGAGAACGGGAAAACGAATCCCTTCTGCCGTATCAAGAGTCAATGTCAAATGTTGTCTTGCAGTCATGTTTAACACTTACTATGACGACAAGGACGATCATACCATTGTTGACCAATCGCATGCATTGCGATGCGACTGTCCACCCGAATGTGAATTTAGCAGCTACATGACAAAGATCATCGGTATGCCAATCGTTGAACGGTCGCACATTGAACTGGATATTCATTTTGAATCGCTCAATTGTCTGCGCTATCGAACGGATGTCGTGTACACGAAACTCGATTTGTTAGGTAATGTCAAGTCACAATAGCAGTCCGACCAAAATGCTCCAGGGTCGAGTCGCGGCGATTCTAATCCCATGCAAATGAATTTTCTAATTTCAGTTTCGTTTGGAGGCATCATAGGTCTGTTTTTCGGTGGGTCTCTCCTAAGTGCGGTTGAAATTCTGTACGCCATTCTATGCGCGATACATCTTTACTTCTATCGGCGTAAAAAACGCAAATCCCTGGACGGTAAAAGTGGCCATCGAGTTATACGGAGACCGGGGATATCGACGATTGTTCCACTTATTGATTACCCCGACGTGAGAAGACAATTTTATGACTAATTCGTACCCTTCTCAATACCGATAAGTCGGTGAGATGGAGAATAAAAAATATTCAATCGTTATGCCTTACCGATGATATTTTCAAGTAATGGAAATAAATGCGAAATGTAATTGTAGAAGAACTCCCCTTCCCTCCCTCTACGATGGAACGTTTATGGAAGCTCATATTATCGGAGCTGTTTATTTAATATTAGTCTTTTTACAAATTTCCAAGTATCCGTGGAACGAGTACGATATCCCTACCTCTAAACGATGATTTGAGAACTTAATTCGAGTTCACGTACCATTTAATTAATGAGTATGCGGTATGCAACTTTAAAATACGTTACGCGCGCGAAGATATATTATTGGATAAATAATACAGTAACATTTCGGTATTACGCCCAGATAATCGCATATCTAATGCTTAAAAACCAGGTGCTTTGCATATATTTTGCGGTGCTATCTAGAAATCGAAATAATTTTTCGGTACATTTAATTACGGAGCAACCCCTACGTACTCTCATATAATTGTCTTAGGTTCAACGATCCCGTACTACCTGTAGTTACTTTGCCTCGTTGAACGTAGTGCAATCGCGAGCTAAAACCGATACCGTCTCAAGTATACAAATCATAATCGATCATATTATAAATCATATTTCATCGTTGCATCTAGTATACCGAACAAGGGTATCATAAGATAAATTTCGTACAACTTATCGCACGACGCAATTAATGTAGCAAAAGATAAAATAAAAAGCTCTGCCCGATCGCGACAGATCCGTAGACCCTACGTCCGCAACAGTTCACTTGTTCTCAAGGGGTTTCCTTAGGCTAGGGATTTAAAAAGCGAAAGGGTTCTTGCCTTACTAACAAATGTCGCACGAATGCACGTTGTAGTCCACCCAAGAACGAAAGCCAACCTTGCACACGGCACAGAAGCACACTCGAGCTTGTGGGTCGTGGACATCCTTAATGTGTGTCGCCAGAGTCTCCTTTTCGACGAAGCAAGCTTTACAAACGTTGCATCGGAAGGGTTGATGGAAAATCCTGAAATGCGTGGCCGCATCGGATACGGTGTCGAACTGCCGCTTACAGATACCGCACTTGATCAACTTGGTTTTGTGCATGAAGATGTGATTTTGCATGTCGACCCCTGGAGGAACGACCCTGTTACATACTCTACAAAGCCGCTCGACTGCAAAAGCCGGAGAGTTGTAACAATACTTGGAGTGCTCTTCGAATGCATTGCAACTGAAGAAGACGCTCTTGCACACTTGGCACGTCCTCGAGAAGTGCTCCCTGAAGTGTTTCTGCAACGAACGGTCGTCCGCAAAGCTCATCTTGCACGTTGCACACCGAAACAACCAGCAACGAGTGCTCGCGTGCTTGTCCCATTTACTTTTGTCGGTAAAATGGACTAAACAAATCTGGCACTTGTATATGACGTTTGAATTGGTCGCGACCAATTCGCGACTCTCTGGCGTGGCTTTTCGCGGATCAGCTGATTCGGGGCCGTTGTCTGTCGGGTCTGGTCGCGGGTTAATCACCGAAGTGACCACTGGATTTTCGGACGTGGCATAACTTTTCGATGGTACGACCAAGTTGAGCGGGGCAGAGTACAAAGTCGGATTTGCGGTCGACGTAATCACCGATTCTCGAGATACGTTAACGTGTGGGGATGAAATCGAGTCGGGAGGTTTAGAGGTAGCACCGCGGGTGCGTCCCACGGCCGAATCTTGCAACTTTGAACGGTGATACGTGTGATCGTAGTAGTGGTTTCCTGCCCCCTCGTCCAGGGAGTGCATCCTCTTCGGTACATTGTGTGATAAGGGATTCCTCTTGGAGTAATCCGACCGTGTAGCCGCTTCCAAAGTGGGTTGGAAGAAGTTTCGGTCGTTACTGGGTCCCGCTCCGGTCTCACCGTGGATGTACCCATCCGCGCTGCTCTTCCTTTTGGACAGGCTACCGATGGTTAAATTTTCCACAATCTTGGCGAAAGGTTTAACCTTGAGTTTACCCATTTGCTGTTTCTTCGCAACGGCGCCGTGGCGAAGCACTTTCAAAATCGTCCCATCCCTCGGACCGTCTGGTGCGGACGTCTTCGAGGAAACGTCTTCCGCGTTATTCCCTGCGTTATGGGACATGGGGTCGACAATTTCGATTTCCTCGTAGACATCCGTAATTTCAACCGGTCCTGAGACGATTCGTCTCGGTGCCCTCCGGTCGTCCTCGTGGACAGGGTGATCTTGGCTCGAACGATTCCGATCTTGATCTCCTACCGCAGCATCCGTCCGTCGAGCGTGAACGCTCTCTTTGTGCTTCTTGCAGAGGTAGCCATTGTCGAAGGACATGCCGCAAATATCGCAGACTTGTCCTAGTGGAACATCCCCGATGCAACTGGTCCGCTGATCTGGGAATTTTTGTCTACAGGATTCACAAAAGCAAGGATCGGAAATACACGGAGCAGTCAGAGCTTGCTTCAAGATAGAGGTGAGGTTTTCTGGTGTTCCAGGGGTTGCAAGCTCCTCTTGCATCCTGTTCAGGACAGCCCCGCTGGTCTTCATGCGTGCGGAGTGAAAAGAGCGGCTGGCATAATGAGAATGGACCGTCTCAAGATGAAATTGAAATTTGCTGACGGTCGCGTATTCTCCCGAACACATGAAACATTTATATTTGCCCGAAGAACTCGAAGCTTCGCTGCTTACAGCTGCGGTAGATTCCGGTAACGAAACGTTCGCGGGCATTTCCGCGTTTCCCGAGAACGAGCCACTTTGCGAAACGTCTCCGGCATTCAGAGCATCTGCGAGTTCTTCGACTTTACAGATATCATCGAGGGCAAGAGGATCCTTACAGTCCTCCTTCGTGGTGTCCGCGTCGAGCTCGAACATTTGACTCTCTTCTTGGCTCTCGTTAACGAAATCGACGCTGCTGAAGACGGGATTTAAATTGGGAGAGTCTTTCCCGACCTTCGAATTTACCGGATGTCGCATCCGACTCGAGTCGACGTTTTTCGAGTTGGAACCAGGCTTATTCCCCGTTAATTTGATTGGATCCACGTCATAGCCCTTATGCAAATGTATGATATGCGTTTTCGCGGAAGCGGTCGTGTGAAACTTCTCCCCGCAAATGGGACACATCTCCTTCATGGAGTTAGTATACATCGGGATGTGTTTCCGTTTGTGGTATTTCAGCAGAGATGGCCAAGGATACTTACGCCCACATATTTCGCAGGAATAGTTCCCCTCGTTCCAAAATCTCATTTGATGCTTCGCTAAATTGTCCTTATTTGCGAAATTCTGATTACACGTCCTGCACTTGATATAGTTCCCGATAACTGCATTATCCGTGCTCGTGGTGGAGCCTCCCGTTAACAATTTAGGATGAATTACATTCACGGTATTTCGGAAGCCTGACCCGCGGTTTGGTATAATCAGAGGTGTCGAATCATTGTACAGCAACGCCGACGACTGATCGAGCTCCTCTCCAGTCGTTGCCCCCAACCCATCGTCCTCTGGACGATTCCCATTCGGAGCGTCGTCGACGGCATTTCTCGCGACCACGGCGTGGACAAATTCCCCCCCGTGTAAGTGCACCCCATGGGCGTTCAACGCGAGCATGGACTCGAATCCCTCGAGACAAACGGGACAACAAAAGTCCAGGGACTTGTCGTCCGATTGGCCGTGTTTCCGCTTGTGCTCTTCCAAATGCGACGCCCATACGAACTTCCTGTCGCACACGTCGCAGGGATATTTACCGTCGTTGGAGTACTCCAACAAGTGGTTCATCAAAATAAATTCGCTCTCGAACACCTGTCCGCACACGGAACACTTCAGCTGGCCCGCTCGTATCGTGGCCTCGCCATCGGTCTCGCTGCCGACCTCGATGACGCACTCGTCGTCGTTAAGAGCGAGGGCGCCTTTCAGAACCGATTCAAGGGACGGTCTTGCCAGGTCTTCTAGCGTCGAGTGGGTGCCGATGGGCTGGTTAAGGGACTCCGGATGGAAATGCTTCTCGTGAGATATCAGACAGGAGTGGGTCTTTAGTACTTCTCCGCAGAAATGGCAGGCGTGCTCGTCATTTGTTCCGTCGTTTCCATGACTCGCGGCTAGGTGACCCTCCAGCAAAGTAAGCGTGCGGCACCTTCTGCCGCATCTGTCGCATTGATAGTCGCCGTCGTTGGAGTTCTCGTCCACGTGGGCAGTCAAATCGGCCTCCTCGGGGAACGACCACTGGCAGACCGTGCAAACGTGTTTCCCGAAGCCGGTCGTCGGAACGTCCTCACGTTTGGTAGGGATTTCATGTACCCCAGGAAAACCGGCACTCGTTCCTATCATCGGAGGTGCCGGGCGGCCGTCGTGCCTGTGCACGTGCATCGTGTGGGCACGCAATTGCTGAAGTTCCGGAAACCTTTCCGTACAGAGCACGCACATGAAATTGTAACTCTGTTGCATCTCCCCGAAGTGCTCCGATTTCCTGTGCTTCTCTAATGCGTACCTCCCTTTGACGACGATATTGCATACCTCGCAAGACCACTCCAGAGCTTTGTTGAAGTGTTCGAAGTGATCGACCATCAGATTCTCGGTTTTAAATGGAACGGCGCACGTGTAACACGTCATGCGATTGACGTTAATGTTCGCAGACCCTTCCTTAAACATTGCCTCGGTTGCCATACAATTGTAGTGGGTGTGCATCACGTGGATCCGCAGGATTTTCTTCTTAGCAAACCCATGATTACAGATCTCGCATCTCCAGTTGTAGACTACGGTGGAGTCGTTTACGTGCGCTATTTTCACGTGCATCATCAGTCGCCTCCTATTCGGGAACAGGGTTCCGCAGATGTAACAAGTTTCCCTCGGCAGCTGCAAATACGTTTGCACGTGGCGCCGAAGATTATTTAACGTGTGGAACTGCGTGCCGCATATTTCACATGGAAACCGTGAAGAACATTTGGACCGATCGTTACTTTCTACTTCGACAGAGGCAGTTCCCGAGGTCCGCCCAAGAGGAGGGTTCGAGTCGTTCGGTTCTTCCAAACCTCGGGATCGGGGAGTTTTTGTAGTGGATGTTTCTCTTTCTTTCGCGTCGATCGTTGATAATATCCTTTCCCTAAGACTCTGCAACTGCAACAGGTCCTTGTACGTTTTCACAAGACTGCCCTTTGATTTCCCATTTGCAGACTTATTGTTCGGTTTATCTTCCATTTGTCTCTTCCTTGATTTGCAAACTTTCTCGTGTTCGTTCAAGCAAGTCGATAACCAGAACCCTTTTCTGCAGCCGGAACACTTGTACATTTTTTTCTTCAAGTTGCACCGTGTGTCGATGTCTATCGGGAGCCAGTCATCTTTCGATCGGATTACCTTGATGCAATGCATCAGTAAGTGTTTCTTCAACTTCTCTCGATTAGCGAATCTTTTCCGACAAATGCAACAACCATTCTTTTTGTACATGGGATGCTGATCGAGGTAATGAGAAAGCAGCAACCGCTTCGAAGAGCATCGCGCTCTACAAATACTGGACATGTATGCAACATGAAACGATTTAACGTGAACCTTCTTCTCGTTTTTCGAATGGAACGTTTTTTCACAAATGTTGCAATTAAATGCTTTTTCCTGAAGTAACCGAGTACTTAGTTCGCGAGAAGGACAAGGTATCGTGTATCCTAAATGTTCTAATTTCACCAATTTGATTTCAACTCTTTTCAGTTTTGCTATATGTAAATTTGGGTCCGGTGCTTCAATCTTCACCGGAAGTACAGGATAGTTCGGATGTACGTCTTTAAGTATCGTTTGTGTAGTGCTGTCGCAGGTTGTGGAACAACGGCGATGCTGGGTGCCGATAAGGCTCTCGTTGAGTCTTACTAAATGGACTCTGCACATCTTGAGTTTATAAGTCGATTCGGGCAGCGGTTGATTTTCAGTTGTGCCATCCGACAGGAAATATTTTAAATTCAATCTTTCATCGGCTGGCCAAAGCCCAGACTCCTCGGAAGAAATTTTCGTAATAATTGCAGTCTCCGGAGGAGAGATAAGATGTTGATCCATGTCGTCGCCAGCGCTCTTGTCGCGCCACTTTGAAGAAAATCTTCTGTCGATTCTCTCAAAATATTCCGTCACATCCAGTTGGAAGTTGTTCCGAGACCACTCTTTGTTTGACGTTTCTCCACTTTGCAAAGCTTTTCGATCGTCTTCTGTTTCGAAATCTTTAATCACATGTCCCAACGTAGATCTAACGTCATTCGGATCTGCACAGGGTTCCATGTACTGGTCCACTTGTGTGGAAACACTACCATTAACTTGTCCGGCATTAACTAAAGATTCTTGCTCTTCTCGTACACTGGATGACTGTAAAAACTCAGTCAATATCGTTTGTCTAAGCTTCCGATCAGGCCTTGATTTTCGAACTTCTAGATTATTCTCAGAATGTATTCTCCGAGTACGTACACGCGGATGAAGCCCTAACGAACGGATCTCTTGTAAGTTTATGGAAACTGCACCTCTTGGTTCATGAAAGTCTAAAGCAGTATGGAAATGAAACAAATGAGCTTGTAATACAGACTTTTTAAGAAATTTTTGCTTGCACCAATCGCACATTATTAACGTGCTGTTCGAAATAGCTGCCCGAGAATGTGCTGACTTTCGATGCTCTGTCAATTTTGTTTGCGATGGAAACCGAACATTGCAAGGACGACAGTGGAAGTTACAAGGTTTTAAATAAATTACATTGTGTCTGACTATCTGAGCACGACTGTCGAAAGATAATTGGCATATATTACAGTAGAACTTGTCTATTTCATCAGACCGTGGAATAAGATCGTTGGGCATGTGCGAAGTCGTTTTTCTTCTTCCTTTTGGTTTATTTTCTTGAAGAACTTGTAACCACGTACCGTCACTGTTCCTACGTCGCAAGGAAGTACTAAGCCTCGTTTTTTTACTACGCGTATCCTCTTCTGGGACTTGATCGGGAGCCAAGTTTTCAAGGCTTCTTTTTCTCTTTCTTCTTTTTTCATTATTGTCTTTCGTAGTGGTTTCCAAAATATTTGCAGTAAATCTGTCTGCACGTGCTACCTGGAAACCTTCATGGAGTACGTAAGGTGACGGGTTTGGAACATTAAGTTTTTTATTTTTTCTCTCAAAAATGGTAGAATTATCTTGCGTCGTGGAACTCTCCATTGAACGTTGAACCATTGGGTGTAACCGATCAATGGTGCTTTCATTATGCATTATATTTCCATCGACCCAAGATTTTGAATTATTCAAGGTTTCCTGTATGCCATCGTTACTCTTACTAGTATTTTGACATTCCGATATATCTTCAGGTTCCTTCTTAATTTTTGTAAATATTCCAATGGAATTATGCTGTAAAATATTTACATTATATACAACATAATGTTGTAGGAAAAATGAAAAAGCCAAAAATAAATTATATACTGCTTTAATATTTCATTGCTTTTGTACTTACATCAGATTTGTAGTTTTCATTGATAGCACTGATCAGTGCCTTCACGGTTCTTTCATAAACCAGAACACGAGCCATTTTATCTATGGGTGCACTGACTTTTCAAGACTCCAAAGCACTATAATATTGTTTTTCTTCCATCCATGAAGTACGCCATGATATTTTGAGGTTACCCGTTGCCTGCCTCACATCCTAATCAGATGCAGCAATAATTCACCAAAAGTTTACAGTTTCTGCGAAGAGTCTGTCAACTCTTAAACCAATTTGGATGCACATAAGTCGTTTTAAATCCGATCGGTTAGAAATGGATTAAAGATCAGCATCCACGTCCGACAAATTCGTACATCGAAACCATGACGTAGATGAGACATGATGCCAATGGTCCGTTCCACAGAAAGTGACCCCAGAATCGGGACCCAGGGGTCGATTCTGTACTTTTGGTGAGAGTGCTCATTTCTCGCACTGTCATATCACGAGAATTGATTTAACTAATTTTATATCTGTCGAATGAAAATGTGAAATCTCTAAACTTAATGAATTCGGTTTGAACTCTCGTCGACTAGTCTCGAATTTGCGTATTTATTAATGCGATAGTAATGTGATTTATTGAATCCGGACCCGATAAATCCGGGTTTTAGGAGTACGATGGAGATGTAGTCTATGTATTTTGGTGGATGTTTCCCTCTCTTGTGCAAAGTCTTCTATGGAAAGATTCAAGTGCTGCATGTGGTACTTTAGCGAATATTTATGATTGTTGGTGGTTTAAAAAGATTTGAAATTGTTTATCAGATTTAAATGTAAAACTTCTTAAACTAATAATTTCGACGTATTTGGTTCCGTATTTTATCGGTGAGGTATACGTTTTAAGTTTAAACAAAAATGGAAAATATAGAGAACAATGGTAGGTGAATTTTGGCGGGATGTCTATATTAATCTTTTCAAAATTAAAACTGATCTGTATTTCATTTGAAATTGTTTTCTCGAAGTTAATGAGAGTTTGGGTGGAAGGGAAATGATATAAGTTAAACAAATTACATTTTTTCATAGCGGAACAGTTGGTGGTTATAATTCAAGAAAGCGATTCAGAACATGAAATTGAGAACCAAGAAGAAGAGGTGGAGGAAATTAGGAACGATGAACCAGAGGTTGCCAACAGTGAACAATTAGTTAATGCAAACAATGAAGTATTACTATTGGGTGGGAACGAAGGACCATTGCCTAATGACGATGGCGCAGAACCAATAATTATTAGTGACGAGCCAATCATCATCAATGATGGCGGACTGGAAACGACGAACCATGATGAACCAGTTGCTGGATGCAGTGGAGAACCTGCTATCAAGTGCAACGATGAGAATAAGGAAAATTACTCAACAAGTGGTATTTATTTACTGTAATTTATAAAATTCCAGATAAGAAATAATTAAATAAGTAGGTGAGGGTAATAGATCTATCAGTTGATTATCAACTTTTCATAAACTATGAAGTATGCACTCTTACGAATGGTACTTGAAAACGATCTTACCAGAGTCCTCTCCAATTAGTCCGCTTTAAGTAATTATTACAGGAAGTTCATACACTGTGGAAAAAAATAGTACAGAACTTTTCGACTCCTTTTTTGACAAGGATAGCTCTTTCATATCACCTTAATTCCAGTCAAAAGACAGAGAGATGATGACGACACCGATCCATTGGATGGTCGACAGTGTTCGATCTGCCTGGACGTATGGACGAACTATGGAGAGCACAGGTTATGTTCTCTGAGTTGTGGCCACGTATTTGGTCAGCATTGCATCGAGCAGTGGCTGACAGGCCTCAAACAGAAAGAGCGACGATGTCCACAATGCAATCAGCCAGCCTCGACAAGGGAAATTCGCATCATCTACGCAGAAAAGTTGGTCGCCGTGGACACGGTGGAACTGGATGTTCAGAAGCGGAACATGAACTCAATTAAGAGAGAAAACGAGTTCATGAAGGCACAGCTGAAGCGATTAGAGACACGCGAGAAGCTGTTGCTGGATGAAATAAACGTCTTCAACAGTCGAATTGCCAAAATGGAGGCACAAAGGTCAAGCTTGACAGCTGCATTGGACCATCATTCCTCAATGAATAGATTCCAGATCTGCAGGGTTTTCAAGATCTGCAAGGAGAAATGTTCCAGGGTGATGGACTATGACTCCAGGTCCATGTGCGTAGTGGCCTCGCAAAAATCCTCTTCACTTCCGTTCTCCAAGAACGGGATCAGGAAGGTGGACATAAACACACTGCAGCTGAAGGAGTTCGTGCCGTTGCATGATCATTCCATCAGAGACATCTGCTTTCAACCAAAGAGTTCGCTGCTACTCAGCGTAGGATTTGACAAGTGCGCCAAGTTCCTTGACCTGCAGAGTAACACGCTGATCCACACCTTCAAGGCGCAACATCAACTTTGGAGCTGTGCCTGGAGCAATGACGACCGGACCATGTTTGCCGGAGCCCAGAACGGCTCCATCCTGATCTTCGACATCAGGCAAACCTCTGGTCCCCTGCAGGTGCTGGAGAACCCTGGCGACGTGACTCCGGTCATCTCCTTGACTTCTATTCCACAGGCTTCCTGCAACGCAGTACTCCGTGGAGGGTTCTTGGCGTGTCAGCTGCACTCTTGTCATGTCGAAGAAAGCAATGGTGGCAACTATAATAGGCATCGACTGAACTTGGAGGGCCCCTTCATCTCTGGAAGGTATGACCAGAAGACAAATCATGCCTTGATCTCGACGCGTGCTGGAACCTTGCGAAAAGAAGGCAAACATGTGGTTTGTAACATCGACAAAGCTTCCGATGGATCCAAGATGTGCAACGTTGTGTATGAACTCAACGGTGGATCTTCTCAGCAAGTGTTATCTAGACCTTCTTTTATAGATCTTAATGGACAGATGTTTGTAGCTGCTCATAGATTCTCCACTGGGACAATACCACTGTGGAATATTTCCACTGGGAAGGAAATATATAATATTCCTATGTCGGAGTCCATCATGGATCTTTGCTCCTTTAGGATATCTAACGAACTGTTTCTGGCAGCGCTGTCTCCCTCAAAACTGAACTTGTACAAGTATGCCTAGTTTTTTTAGTGTATTGTGACGTGCTCGTGGACCCTGTGATGTTTTTAGTGCTGCCATGGTGATCATCGTGTGACATTATAAATGGTTTCGTTTAATTTTATAAGGTGGTTTGAAAAGTCGGTCAGCTAGAAAATTCGACCGAATTACGACTGAGTTAATTTAAAGAAAAGGACTGACTGCTTCAAAACATAGCGATGGCAACACTGTTTTGTACTGTGATTTTTAGTTGTATACTTTATTCTGCTGTGCAGCATAGAACCTTTTTTGCGTGTAAGATACTCGCTTCGATTCGAAGAATGAAATGCTTTTATTTAAGGGAAGAATTTTTATAAGTTAATCATTACCTGAGATGTACTCCACGACCGAAACAAACACTACACTTTTCAGAATGTTCAAATATTATGTTATCCAGAGATTTATCGCAATTTTTCTTGTATAAGATGCATTTGAAAAAAAAAAAAAAAATAAAACTTAAAGAGATGTAAAAGTGGCGTCTGGAATGGATGATGAAACTTTTCTATGACCTTGCTGTAACTAATTATTTTTATCTTTATGTTTCTGTTTCGCCTATTATTTTGTGCCCCTTTTCAGGTTTAGGTGGACCACATATAGGATCGATTTTTTTTTTTTTCAAATTGTCATAGACCGCAGAACTTGCTGAACTTGTTGGTAGAAGATATTTGTTAGCATAGGGATGAGGTCATTTCTGTAATTATTCAATCCTAGAGGCGAACTCGAATTCAAATTCGTCGATTTTCCGCCATGCTCCTTTTTCGATAACTTCACTGCTTTGTTAGATGCAACCATCTTCAGTGTTTTGTATGTCCACGGTGTACGCGTCGGCGTTTGGCATTTCCTTGTCTTTGGAAATCGATGCCTTGTTAAGCAGTCCTAAAATATCCTGTTGATTTTAAATGAAAATGACGGAGACGGATAGCATCATGAGTAAGGTATTAATCGTTAGATATCAGAAATCAGTTTTGACAATCGTTCGTGCAAGTACAGTTCTAACCTTCAATATCGTATGTTTGTATTGTTAGCATTCAATGGGGAGGCTGTGGAATAATGATTAATCATTTAATTCGGTCGCTTGATGTAGACAAATATAAAGAACAGTACAACAGAGTAACCTGCATTTTTAGATGCGGGGTGTCGAAGATACTTTGAAGGATTCACTGCATCGGGTGGAAGTTATCGAAAAGAAATTGAAATCCAGATTACTTACCATAGAAAATCGAGATAGATTAGAACGAGAGCTGGAGGAAGTTAAGGAGATCCTTCGGAAGAACGAACAACAGTTACAGGGACTCCGATATGAAAATACAAGGTCGTTTATGGTAGCGGCGTGTTTGGTATTCGTGGCTTTCTTGGTCTTTGGTTTGTACTCCATGATCTTTGGAAGCTTATGACGGCAGGCATAAATTCCTCCGCAAGTACTTGGAATAGGGACCAACAAAGTATTATTTATATTTGCATTTACATAATGCTTTTGTGAATAATTGTATCTATATGTTGATTTTGGAACGAGTTTAGTTTTTTTTTATACAATTTGTTAATATGTACATTTTTACGTGGACTTTAAATAACAAGAAAACCAGTTTTATAAAGTGGATATTATTTGTAATGAAATTACATTTTTTAAGTGTTGTAACAACATATTTAACAAATAAGTGCAGTAATGTATCGTAGTCAAGCGTAGGTTAGAAAGAATATGGAGCACTTGGGCAATGATTTAGGCTTCGATTAGCATATCGTACTGAGGTGATCCAGCAAGGCGACTTTTGATGTATTTTGTGTGTATCTCTGGCTCGAGGTAACTCTTTTTAATGCTAGGATCTTCTTTCATCGCAGATCTCCATTCCAGCTAAAACAAGTGATGGTAGGATGTTAATAGTGTGTTTGATGTGATATGAAAGTAACCTCAAGCACCAAATTATTTATAAAACCTTTCTGTAAGCAATATTGCGCGGCAGGTTATGTTGTCACTCTAGTATTCAAAATGGCATTACCATAGAAAAGAGTAAGTGAATTTTATTTCATTGATGTCAAGTAAATTTCTCACCGCCTTTCATATCACATTTAATTCCTTAATGGGTTTCATTTAATTTATATTACAAAAACGTGAGAGTTATCCTTCAAAATACTAACCAATCTGAGGAAGCGGTCTCGTGGTATGATGTACTGGTCACCGCTTAAAATCCTTATAACGTCAGCTCTCTCACACCAGGGCCAGATCATTAAGTCGAGCATTCCGGGCTTACTACCTCCAAAGAAGGGAGTACCTCTTTTCGCAAGTTCTCTGTCGTAGATCTCCAGACCTGTTAGAGCTTCTTCAAAAGCATCTCGTTCGATGGCTATACTGCGGTATAACTAGAATAACGGGTAAAAACATTTGGATGAATTTACACAGAATTTAGACAGGACCAAAATAGAAAGTTACAGTTGGGGCCAATTTATCGGGATAAATTTGATAAGTAATTTTTACTTAACTCTAATACTTGTAAGTATATGATGTAATTTCAAGTTATAAAGGATAATTAATCACCTTGTACATGGATGTAATGACCGAACCGAACCTTTCTATTAAGAGTCTGTCCTTTGCTTTTTGCAATGGATTTTTTGGGTATAGAGGCCTCTGAGGGTAAGCTTCGTCTAAATAGTCAGCTATGACAAGACTTTCGTAGAGTGTCTCTCCATTTTCAAGCTCTATGCAAGGAACTTTCCCCAATGAGTTCTTCTCTAATAACCATTCCGGTTTATGTGTCAGGTTGATGTAAACAACTTCATATCTAAAATCATGTGGAAATATTATTAAATTATTACGTTCCTTTCTTCATGGACAAGAGTATATGCTAACTGAAATAAAATTAAAATTTGTACGATAAGAATTAAAGCGTTTGAGACTTACGGTATATTTTTAATGTCTAGTACGAGATGAATTCTCTGCGCATAAGGACAAAACCTCATGCTATAAAATCGTAATTTGCCAGGTGTTAAGGGTGGGGCAGTGGAGCCTAAAAAACGGGTATATAGTGAAGGGCGTGAAATATTCTCGCTTAATTCTTTAATTATATCATTTAAAGCTTACCAGTAGACAGGTGATGAGTGCTCATGTTCGAGAGGCTTTTCAGTAAAAATGTAAGGAATGCTCGAAGTAAAGAACCGTTAGCTGTAGCCTTTCCTAATTTGCATATGACATTTCGTAAAGCCGTTTTTGCCTAAAACAGGCAACTAGTGACATGCTAAGATCGTGTAATCGAAGGTTAGTTCGGTTCCGGATTGAGGTGCAAGGTTCGCATTTTATGGACCTTGGAATTTTCGCAATTGTTTCCGCTTACTTCATTCATGTATTTAGTTCCAGGCGGTTCTTCAGTTTGTATTTACCGTTTCCACGTTTATTTTACCGAATGATCAATTTTACATGTTTTTAAAATAACAAATAAATGTTGGTAACGTGAGGCGCCAGCTTACGTTACCACTTGAGTATTCAAAACGGCGTTACCATCAAAAAGGGTATAGATGAATTTTATTTTATCGACGGCAATTAAATTTCAGCGCCTTTTATATCACCTTAATCAGTTGCGGGTCATAGATAGAGCTAAAGCATTAGTTGAGCCACTACCGAAGAGATGGCGCCACGATCGGTAGATCGCGCTATTCTTAGTAGGAACTGAAAGTCTTTAGACTTATTTCTATGTTTAAAAAATTCTCACTTTGGAGAGCGTCAACGGTTATTTCCGTTTGAAGTTTTATATCGTGAGGAAGACATCTTGCACGAATTAGGACCTACAGTAAGTACTCAAAAAATGAGTAATCGAAATAGAGACGTAGTGAAATAAGTAGATGTGCGGGCAGTCCCGTAAGCAGTAGAAAAGTGCTCAAACACGGACGGACATATATTAAGTTTTCGCGTTCGCGTAGAGAAAATTTCCGGTTCCAATCGGTAAGCCAACATCGGTATAAGGTTAGCGTAAGCGCATTGTTACTTATTATCCACTTTTTAGTCTTTGACACTTAGTTGCGTTGCACTATTACGTTAACGATGCGGAAGTTTCGGTGCTAAAATGCGACTCGAGGTTAGGCATTGAAACTTGCAACTCAACGTAAAAATTCATAAATAGTTAAAGTACAGTCATGCTCGGACTTAGTTTCCATCTGCGTGCATAATAGTATTCATTTGTCTTTGGATAAAAGGAAAAGTTATATTTATCTTATAGACATAGAGCACAACAATGAGTAGTCCCATGGATCTTATTAAGGTGATATGAAAGAGTCAGCATATATATATATATTTTTTTTTTCACGCAAATACACCAAATTAAAGACTATCCATTTAGTGATTCTGGTATTTCCTAAATGAAGGATGAAATAAAGGGTGACGTCATATCGATATATCGCCGCGGAGGGAATATATCGATAAGGGGATCTCTCGAGATCGTTCCTCGTGGAAGGTCGCTAATTCAAAATGGTGGGTTTGCGATGCTCGACGTTGTTTTCGCGTCCGAGTGCGCCGGGGGGGTGTATGCAAGGTTAGGTTAGGTTCGCGAGGTCAGGCGAGTGGAGGAGCGGAGGTTGATCCGTTGGCCAAGGCTGGTGGAGGGAGGGCGCGCTCGTCGGTGGCGCTGATTGGTAGGAGAATCGATTAGCCGGAGCCGGAGCTTAAACTCTCTCTCTTTCTCTCTCTCCGGGCACCGCAGCAGTTTCAGCGACGCCGCGAATTTCCCGAATGGGGGTTTCCCGTTGGTCCCGCCTCCGAGTCCACCGCCTTGGCGGCCTCGCTCGATCCCCATGGCAACCGGCCGATTCGCCAACCGCTGTCGGGTGTAGCGACCCTGGCGTGTCGGTATCTCCCTCCACATTTTCCGTATTTAACCGGAACGGGCCAACACAAAGCACATTGATTTTGCCGACGACTGATACAACCCCGTCGGCCCGTTTAATTGGAACATGGCGACTTTAATACAAGCGCACGACAACAAGAACAACAACAGCGTCCCCCGGCCGCTGATCTATATACCAACTGGATAGCTGATATCCTACAAAATGGCGTCACTATTTTTTTCTTTTTTTTTTTCAAGCTACCAAAGCCCTCTGGTCATGGCCACATAAACTAATATCCTAGTGTACGCGCATGCGTCGCAGATAGTACAAGAGGGGTGACATCAATTTACCGGAAGAAAATAATTGCCATTTTTATTCAAGTACTTGCGGGAGCCTTTCTTACGATATGCCCTACGCACCCGTCAATTATGTCTCTTCTGTATTTTATACTTTAAACATTTAGCTGCAAATTGATCGTTCGGCGTTTGTCATTGCCGCGAGTGACGGATTGACGGTTGAAATCTTTCTCACATGCGCATCCGTTACTTATTCAGTATCGCTGCCCATGTGTAGTTGAACTCGTCGATGTCCTCTCCGTATGGAAGAAATGGGTATCAGCTATCCAGGAACTATCGCGAAACTAACCTAACCTATCGCAGCCTATGCTATCGCCGGACACTCCCAAGCCTCGCTCGTCCCTCATCCCCGTAATCGGCGTCATTATCACCGTCATTATCGTCATTACGCCGCCCTGGCGGACGCCATCTTTGAATCTCGCTCCCTAACCTCCCTTCGACCACCCTGATAAGAATCGGATCCACATTACTCCCCCGTGTCTGTTAAACATTGTGTGTATCTTGTCTCAAGTCTCCCTACGGGTGGGCTTTCGAGGAAGAATAAGTTTAAAAATTAAAAATAAATAATCAAGGTTTTTATTTATATAATAAAGGATCTGTCACGTACACCAGCTGAACGAGAATTCCGATAGCTTTGAAAGAAGTACATGTAGAAAATCGTAGGGTAAATAATTGCGATCCCGTTTAATGTCTTCCTGGATTGATGCGAAATAAGTCGCATTATGTATCGGAGAAGTAATTGTGTATTACGGAGGTGTTTGCGATTTGCGACTGGTGATGGCGTCCATCTTGTTTCGGCCAAAGGGTACTGAAATTCTCAATTGTGTACAAGGGGTATCGTATGCTGCAATACTCACCACATTCGATACCAGGTTCTAAAATGCGCTAAACTCTGCGGAACATCGATATACTATAGAATGGCGCTCGTTTGATAACATACACTGTGTAGACCGTCGATTAACCGAAGTCATGTCCTGAATCATGATGGCAGGACATCGCTTAACGAAAAATCATATCGGCCGCCGTGACGAGTTATCTGTAAATCATCGTAGTTAGGTATTTCCCTCCTCTCTTTCCATCGCACTCTCGGTCTCGAGGACTAGGACTAGATTTTCTACATGCCTAAGCTACACATGAAAACACCCTATCTACAATCGTTGACCCAGCGTTGCACTGGGTGCCAGTTTCGAAATGATGTTCCGCTCCCAAAATTGATCGCTAACTGACCCAGGGCAACGCTAGGTCGGATCACTAAACGCGTTAGTAATTCTAGTAATGCTTAGACTTTACGTGGTGGTATGGTACAATACACGACTTAGAGGTTAGGTCATCGACGGAGGTACGGATTGAAACCCGCGCGGGCTTCCCCGGAGACCTCCGTTTTTCCATTTAGGTTTATTTACAAGTCTTTTGTCCGCTCAACGATGCGCCCGTACGAACTTCCGGTTTGTTCCCCGCAGTGTTCTTCCTTGGGGTCGTGGATATGCACGGACGGAGGAAATAACTAGATAGAGCCTAGGCAAGAGGGAGGAATCGTAGACTACGTTTCTATCGTACGCGAATTTCGGGATTTAGCGGATCGGAACCCAGGAAATCCGGATTTAGTACATCTCGTCATCTTACCGGTCGCGAGAGGTTACAATCGAAGAGTGAAGAGAAACGAGTCTTGGGGGACGCCTAAAGACTCTGATCAATTTGGTCGATGTGGCGTCCTAAGACTCGAGTCGTTTCTGCGGGAACGCACCGGAAGTTCGGGGCATTTCCGACGCCGCGGCGTTGACCGTCGCGTTTCCCGGGGTTAAAACGCACCGATATAACAAATAAGTTAAAAGTCTTTATAATACACGCATTATTTATAGGTACCTTAACCTTACCCCATAAATGGCGCACTCTGTAGCCAGTCGGAACGCCGTGAATGTCCATGTGCGCGCAACCGAGCGTCCTCCAATCGATGCAACGGGGGGAATGCAACGTCTAATCACTCGAAACTATCGCAAAGGGTTTACCTTTGCTAATTATCACTTCATGGGTCCACTCGAATCGGCCACCTGGCTCCGTCCAGGGCTTTGGAAGGTCAAGCCGAAGTGGTTCCTGACCATCCTCTCGGTGCACGAATAGCGGAGGGTGTGTGGCTTTCGGAGGCGGTCGGTTGTCGAGGCGGAATAACACAGATGTGGCGGTATGTGGTCTAACACCATTTGGTAGTCTACAAAAAGAGACTCGTCGGTAGGTGGGAATGTATTGCAAAAGCCCATCCGCGCTTATCGTTAATGGTACCAGATCCAGGTTGAAATGCCCACAGTACTCATACTTCGTAATATGTACAAACTTTTTTTTTTTCGATACGATCACAAAGTTCCCCAGCACCTTTTTTCCTTTTTGGGTGGTTCCGCAATCCACTCGTTCCAACCATCCGCACTGACGCGGGGGTGCGGTTGTGCGACGTTTCGTTGCTTCTGTGGGTAGAAGAGCGAGCGTAGGATTCGGAGATAGTGGTTCGGAGTGGCGAACACCGGGAGCGTATCTCTTGTTCAGGCCGGATTAACCCAAAGAAGTGATACACACGAATTAATGGAAGGAGTCCATCCTTCGGCAAGTTCCAAAGGGGCTCGAGTATCCTGGGATGGGGTACAAGCATCGTGGATAGGTCCCAGTGCGTGGCTCGGGCTGTGTGGTGACTTCGGTACACTGACTTTCCCTGGGAACTGGATCAACGGGTACACATCCTATGGTCACCGGGACCGTTCGAAGCACTCACGGACACCCATTAAATATGTACAAACTCCCTACACAGTGGTCCTATCTCCCGGCGGTCGCAGGAAACGACCGTCGGCACCGAGACGCGTTTCGGGGCACGCCGTGTCGTGTGGCTTGCGTGGAATGAAGAGGGTAGCCAGTGGGTCGGAATGGCACACACCACGGGCATCTCTCGTTTGGGCCAGGTTATCCCAATTAGGCGATACACCCGGGCCAACGGAAGGAGTCCATCCTTCAGCGGGGGGTCCCCAAGGCGCTCCAGTGCTCCGGGGTGGGTCATGCGTAGTGCGGATAAGTCCCGAGATGCGCCGGTACGTGACCCGATGCCGTGTGGTGGCCGGCGTAGAGATTCGCCCCGGGACTCGACCAGTAGCTAGAGGCCGATTGGAAGAGTCCTCCGGGAACCGAGACCGAAACAGAGGCTGCCGGAGGTGGCATCAGGTTCAGCTTTGCGTGGCCGTACCCTGACATGAACAACTCGCTCTGGTACTTGTACGCCGCTGGGTCGGCCGCAGCCGGTTGGGTAGCCGCGGCCAAACCTTGGAAGTCGAACTTGTAGGCGTACCGTTTCCCGTGCACCTTCGTCATGATGTTCTTGTCGTAGTAGTACCTGAAACAAGGATTTTCATTCCGATAATCGACTCTTGCAATCCGCCATGCCGTGCTCAAACACGATCTAGAAGATTGTAGAGTCGTCCGTTTTGCAAATGTACGCTTTTGTTCCACGTGCAAGGTCCTACGTTTCTTTTCTTGTATGAAAGCGACGGATCGATCAATTATACCCGGAACCCCTCGAATCGAGCAGTCCTCTAATGCGATCAAAGAATCGGATCGAAAAATAATGGACGCCCACGGAATGCAGGCGTTGGTGCCTGGCATGATTGAAATTCTCGCACCCCTTCGGACCCCCCGCGTAGCCATAGGTGTCCCTTCTGCGACCCCTTCAATTCGAGGGGCAATCGACGCTAATTCGACCCCACGGTTCGGGGAGTCTGCGGCGAAGGCTCGCCCAGAAATGAACAACGACTCCCAAGGACTATTCCTGATAAGCTTCTAATTAATCGCCCTAGATGAAATTTCTCGGCGTCTTTCGTATCATCCTGAGCCTCGGAAATACGTGATCGGTCCTGGCTACTCACCTGAGGGCCCTCGACAACTTGTCGTAGTTCATGTTCGGCTTCGACTTCCTTTCCCCCCATCGTCTGGCCACCTCGTCAGGGTCGGTCAGCTTGAACTCGCCATTGGTTCCTTCCCACGTGATGCAGGCCGCGTTGCTGGAATCGGAGAGGAGCTCCAGCAGGAATTGCCAGAGTTGAATCTGTCCGGAACCGGAGCTGGCGAGGCGACTGCTCGTCGCGCCGAACATTTGGTACGGATCTGCGAATTTAGAGAATCGCGTGCCCACTACATTCAGAGAGGAATCCAGCTCCATGAACTATCTCTTAATTACTCGGATAGATCGAGCGATGCAACATTTTCATCTGATTTGCCTCGCAGAAGATCATGAAACGAGTCCTCCTTCCGAGCCCTGATTTTATCGTATCATCTTAGGCTTTTTTCTCTCGGTCGATTTCGCAGGGATTATTAAAAAAAAAAAAAAAATTGTGGAACGAGCGACGATTCTTTAATTACGCGATTGAGGGACAAGGAGAGTCGGTGGATTTCTCCTTTCCTCGAATGTACCTATTTATTACGCGCTTGTTTCTCCGTGCACCCTGTCGCCCTTAAAAGCTTTACAATGCGTCATCACCGTCGCTTACTACTGCTCAGCCATGAAGGACCCTAGAAATCGCACAAAAGGATATAATCGCAACCCTACAATAGAATAGAGTTCGTTTGGATCGTAATAATTTCAATTGAAAGAACTGGCCGCGGAGTGGCCCTCGGGGGGGGCTATGGCGTCTTCGAATTTTCGAGGGCCCTCGAAAATCCTCAAAACTCCGTCCCCTCCTCTGCCCTCCACCCTGTTGAGAATGTTTCGATATTTCCAATACACCCGAACGCAAATGGATGCCGAAATGAGAAATGTTAGAATCCTCTTCTCGACGGTTTTATGCAGTACACGTAATTCGTTGTTACTTTACCGAAATGGCATATGGAACGCTTTAGTTGGTGTCATTCTAAAGGTGGACTGTAAGAGACTTCGACCAAAAAGCGGTATAGATGAATTTTAATCCATCGACCTGGATTCAATTCCTCGGTGCCTTTCGTGTCATCTTAGGACCCGGAAGAGTCGGCGAGTGAAAATATGCTTTTCCCTGGGAGAGAAGGAGGGAATGCTCGAAATTGGGGACGGAATTGCCGGACCTCAAAGGTCGTTACGCCCGATGAATCCCCTGAATGTGCGCGGAGTGATCGCCTTTCGATCGAACGGTAATTCACTTACGAGTTAATAATGGAAAGGGGGCGCGGTACACCCATTTATCCGCTCTACGAGGGAACCGGGGAAATATATCGATGAAGTAGCAAAATGCCAGAATGCCCCTAAAAGACACTACGACGACGCCATTTTTTCACTCGGCCGAGCTTAAGGCGGTAGGAAAGGCTCCGAGAAACTTAATCGACGTTGGTAAATTAAAATTCATCTTTTTGCCTATATATAGGCTGACTCTTTGATATCAACTTAACGCCGCACTTATCATTTACGTCGACGCGCATTTCGACCTCCGATAAGCGCGAGGGTGTACACGTATGCGCATGTAAACGCGTACTTATGGCGAGCATATTTCGTGCATTTATTTCCAGCTATCGATCAGCTGGAAAGAGCGATTCTCGGGCGTGGTCCGGAAAATCAGGACGAGTGGGGTCCCGTGATTACCGGCGAATGTAATCGAGGGGGTCCTTACATGCAGTTACACTTGCGCGTCCGTTCCCTTCCCTTCCGTATATTCCTCGATCACTCCCGGGATCGGTCATACGTTAGTCTGTCAAGGTACATATTTAGGGTGGAGTTTCGCGATTTGTCCGGTAATTTGTGAAAAATATCTACCTACTACGTACCAGGCTGCCGGAGGTGAGAGTGCGTGTCCAATGCTGATTTCGAGAGGCTGCTTCCGTAACCTGAAAAAACATTGAAAAATCTTTTTAAACTATAACAAGGGCATGGATGAATTTTAATTTATCGACGTCGATTAAATTTCTCAGCGCCTTAATAGCAGGAAACTTTCATTGCATTAATAAGTGACTTTTATTATTTTTATTTTTTTTTATTAAGGCGTCGTGGAAGTGGCGTCGAAGGGCTCGTTGCACCTTATCAGGTGACCGATGATTTCGGGAGGGCTTTCGAAAGTGTCTGGCGAAAAAAGTCGAAAGGTCCCGGAAAATCGGGGGAAAGGGACAGGAGGAGGGCTCCAGGATTCACCGGAGCGTTAGAATCCGTTAGAGAGGATTTCCGTGTAGGCAAACAGGAGCTGAGTGCTCCGTATACGTTTCTCCCTACTTTTCGCTCCATCGTCATCCGACTGCTTCCACCTTATCAAGCCGATTCCTCCCTTCCTGGGTCGAGCCGAAATCGCGAGTGTGTCCGCCGGGCTCGTCACGTTCCCTGGACACGTTTGCAATCTGTTTAGGTACAATGCTCCCTGATTCCGGCAGGGCCCTCCTATGACGAAAGATCAGGGAAGATCAACGAGCGAGTGATTGGAGTAGCCATTGTTCGCCCGTTAACCTTTTCCTCTGCTAATTAACTCGGCAAAATCCGAGCCGAACTGGATCACTAGTCTGACTCGTCGAAAGACACTCACGTTTTTTTTTTTTTTTTAATCTTGGGGATTGACAACCCTTTGGACGTATGGGCGAGATTCGTCCGACCGTGCAGGCGACATTGGACCGAACGTCGGGCGCTCTTAGTAGCCAAAGGGTTAAATCGTATTAATGTATAGAGACGCGAAACGTTTTCCGAACCGAGGAGGAATAATCTCGGAGGTTAACTCAAATCGTATGGATGTATATAGAGGTCTCCCTAAAGGCAGAGTCGGCCTAGGAAAGGAAGATGGGGTGCCAACGAGGGTGGCGAGCCCCCGAGCCCCGTGGCTATACTGATTGCGGCTGAATCCTGTCCCTCCACTCTTGACCCCCCGCGACCCGGGCCTTTTGCTGGTCCTTCTCCCTCTTTTTTGCTCCAAGACCTACGGACCCTGCCCCCAATCAGCGGGAAAATCTAATTCTTTAACACAGCGGACACCAACTGCTACTTAAAGACGGCATCTGCCTCCCAGGACTGGGATTCTTTATTTCCCGTAGGGGGAGGGGGTTGCAATAATAAACTAAAGAGATCTCTTCGATTTTATTTTACATTTTATAATACGATTCTCTATAACATATTTAAAAATGAAGAAAATCGGCGGGGGACATCTAAGGTACCTTCCTTGTAAGTCGGACTGGAGGGTGAGGCTACGGCGCAGGCGCGGGCGCCTAACCTCACTTTCGGGCCACCATTGTTGTCGGCGCGTATCTGCGCATTCACAAGCAATTACTTGGGGCGGGGTAATCCTGTTAGGTAGCGAGGAGCCTCCTCGAGGGAGGATCAAAGGACCCGCCATTCCGGGCTGCTGCTCGCGCGTTCAGAAGCTTCAGACGCGTACAATGCTACCGAATGCTACTCGCGAGGGGAACCGGAGAGGAAGAGGGAGAAAGAGAGAAACAAAGCCCGAAGGTGGGCGAGAGAGGGACACCGGTCCACTTTTCGACTTTTGCACACCCAACTTCCGCACGAATGGACCTTCGAGAACGCGACGTATAGAGGGTGGAGGCGCCAGCCAGGTTGCTCGACCGTGGGTGGGATCGCCATTTTTATTTTAACCTCAATCCGGCTAGGACGATTCCGAAATTAATTGCTTATCGCTTAACTCCTTATGGCCTCTACGTAGAAAATTGAAGGTTCGAGACCTCTTCGACGCCACTTTCGCATCCCCTTGGTACAAGGAACTGCCGAGAAATGGCTTTAACGAGAGTAACCGCAAAGTCATGGGCAATTAATTTTTCGTCATCCCCTTAAAAGGGCTAAAATTCCTCATAAATTGCGTTTAAGGGTGCGCCTTAGGCTGACCCCCCAGCTGTCCCGTGCTATCACTTAACTCGACCAGGGCATCGTTCTCGGTAAAGCAGTTAACGCGCCGGACTTGAGTCATGATCCTCCCTCGTGACCCCGGTGCAAATCACGGCCGAGCAACCCCTACGCAGTGCGTAATAAGTAGGCGAATAAGTAGTCGGTCCGCACGCGACGTCCACCCTCTTATTTCTGGCCTCCTCCGTGCCCGTTGACCCATCCCTCCCGAAATGCACCCTTGCTCCACCCTTGCCGGTCACGTGGCTCGAGACAAATCGGTCGATTCGAGTAAGACACCTTTTTTAACCCTTTGGCTACTAAGAGCGCCGAAAGGCGCCCGATTTTCCTGGAGTTCCGAGCCAGATGCATTTTTCAGCCGGGAATTCCCGTCGAGGATCCCCCCTAAGTAGTTCCCAATCCCGGTCGGTAGCTACTTCTGGAGGACATCCGAGTCCCAGAGGTTTTTCCAGGGCACGGCACGAGCCGACCGACGTCCCCTGTCGGGGGACACGGCTCGTGGGCAACAAGTCAACGGGAAACGGCACGTACGGACGGAACGGCGCGGACCGACGGACGCGGAGAGCACGCAGCATATTCGCGGGGGGGTGGGGCTCGCTTATATTATGTCTTCGGCAGTACATACACGGCCACGTGCCTATGCGTGACGCGTTCACGCTCGGTCGAGCGCATTCGACCCCCCGCGCACATATCGCCGGGCGCTTGCCAATGGGGCAGTCGACCCTGATCGTGTTTCCACTCTAGTCGACTGCTCGATTCGACGGGGATCCCGGAGCGTCGTATGACTCTCTTGGAAAATTCGCTCGTTTTTCCCATTTCGCCTTTTTCCCAAGATTTTGCCCCAAAACACATTGCTTTGTAACGCCTCGTGAAGGTGGCTTATCAAAAGTGCCCTTTTAACGAAACGAACGAAAGTCATTTCACGATCCTTAATCCGATATAAGAGGAATATAGTGATGTCGATATTATGTACAATGGAAGACGCGGATGACTCCTCTGGAGGTACGACATCGCCTGTGCAGGGTGGGAGGGCATCGATGTCTCCCAGTGTACGACCGATTGAAATTCATAGGGACGGATTTAGATCCACTGTTTTCAATGGAATGACGCGAATTCGGTGGATTTGATTGCGTGGGCGCAGCCACCTCGGGTGAGGACTATTATAATACGCGGTTGACTTTTGTGACCGCCACCTACCCTCCTGAGCCTGGTGTCCCTTCGGTAGAGGCGCATGAGATAGTCACGCTGCACGCGATGAGGCGCGTGAGCGAACTGCCAAGGCACGCGCCGGTTCGGAGTACGTAATTATCATAGGGGGCCGGAGAGGGGAAGGGCAGGCCGTCTAGTTCACCCCTTAAAGACCGACGGGGGTTGCGAGGCATCGAGGGTCGGTCAGGAAGTCACGCGAGCCGCCCCTCCCGCCCTATTTTTATCGTTCCACGTCTTGTCTTCGACTCGACCAGAACTGGCTCGATACACCCCCTACGGTACCGGAGGACCGTGAACCCATGGGATTTAGGGGATTTTTATAGGGCTTTCTTGGGGGTTAAATCTGGACATCTTGGTTTTGTCATCCGGGACGTAAACGTCTTTCCGTCGTCTTGCCATCGTATCCGCCAGTTGACGTTTCAGAGTCTTATGGTTTCGGTGATTTCTTTTTCAAGCCTTCATTGGGACTCCGCGATCACGGGTTAAAGTTTCATACGATCCGGTGCATTCGGTTTGGGGAGAAATGTTCCTAGTATCTTGACGTTCTCATTTGCACCCCCATGAGAGTTTCGCAACCCCTTAACCGTGGGAAGTGGCGCTATCATCCAGCCGTTTCTAAATCCCTGCCCTCTAACTTTCCGCCGTTCGCTTTGAAGCAAAGGGCTTGGGTTTGTCGAAGCGGGAGCCGTCTAAAAACGACTCCAGCCCAGTCACCTCCACCTAATTTCGCGGGCGCCACCGACGGGCATTTGGCCCCCGGGGACCCGGGGGTGGCGAAGGTTTGCGGGTGCAAAGTGTAAACCCAGTCAGTCAAAGACAACGGGTCGTCCCGCGAGCCCCGCGGGCTTGGGGGGATCCGGGGCTGCAAAAGCGTCGCCCAGACCAGAAGCCGTTTATAACAAGCTGCCCGCGGGCACGGCTCTGATCTCCGCAATGATTGTTCCACGGTGGGGATGCGCCTCGCCCCCTCTCCGTCGCTGCAGCCTCCCGGAGCTCGCAGTCGCGCGGCGGGCGTCTCTGCACCCTGGGGGCTCTCGACGACAAAGGGGCCGCGGTTCAACGCGCCACAAAGCGCCGGGACGCCCACGCCCTCTGTGCCGCGACCCCCCACCACCCCACACACGGACACACCCTATGCGTCGACACGTCGAGCCAAGCGGCGATGCGCATCGATGTGTATCGGAACTTTGAGCGACGTACGCACCCACACAGGGATGCGTGGCGACAAGAAAGCGTGGGTGGGAACACCCGGTGATGGGTGCTGGGCAGAAAGACGCATGCCGACATGGAGAGTCACGCAGGGATACGTGACAAAGTGGTATATCGACTCCACACACGTGGAGCCGCATGACTATGCGTGGAACGACACGGCGCCACTCTCGAACGCACATCGATAGACATGGAGCGGCATGTAGACATGTGGAGCGACATATGGACACACACGGTGTCACATCGCGGCGACTCGAACGCCGCGACGCGTGAACTTGCACCCGCCACCCACCCAACCTAGATATACCTATTCCACGTTATGGCGGCACAAAAAATATAGCCCCGTTGATAAGCCCCTACGGAGCCGGCGATCGTTAACCATTCCTCCCGGCCGGCGGGCACTAGATATTTTTCCCGCAACCCTTATCACAGCTCCTAGCTGGGATGTGGGGATTTTTTTTATTTTCCCCCATTTTCCCCAGATATTCCTGGTTTTCCTCCTTCCGTTGCCAGTAGACTTATTTCTCCGTCTAGGTTTTCCTTTACGCTCGTAGGACGTTTATGATCAAACTTAAACGCTTTTAGTGAACGTTGAACATGCCAGGCGGGACACGTCTGCAGCCTCGCCTCGCATCACTTCCATATCTTTACGAAAGGAGGCACGATGACACTCGAGGGACTCGAGTGAGGTTTTTGAAACGGACCCCAAGTGGACCAAAGTGGCATCATCGTGCTGCAGATCTGCAAGGGGATTCGAGTTTCGAGAGGGGACCACTGCGCCTCGCGGATATCGTATGGTTTGGACCCTCCATGGGAATCATTCGGGAGGAACGTTTCGCTTAATGCCGGAGATGTGTCTTTAGTGGGAGGAATTTTCATCGTTTTCATCGTTTTCATATCATTCGTCACGAAACACTTACCCTGGCCAGGTGCTGGGGATGTGGCGTGGCTCCAGCCTCCCTTGTACGAGCTGCTGGCATCTGCAACAAAAGATCATCTTTGTTGGCCACTTTTCAATGCAAATTGATAGTATCGTCAGATCTTTGACTCTATACCCAGCTCTGGGTGGATTGAAAAAAAGTTTCTCGGCGCCTTTCGTATCACCTCAACTCTCGGGAGCGTCGGGTCTCTTTAGTGTCTTTCGGTGGATCGTTCGGGGCCTCCACCTCGAGTGAGTTTCCACTCAACGGCACCGCCTCCGGGGAAGCTCCCGAGGCCCCATCCTCGGCTAGGCTGTGTTTGCGGACAGATATATTTTCATTTGGCAGTTATTGCCGCTCGTGTGTGCACAACTACGAGCGCGGCGCGAATCGACGCTGGGTCGCCTTTCGGGCAAACATTCGTCTAGCTCGATGCGAGGTTCACGCTACTTTCTGTGTACCCTTCGTTTGGACCCTGGGTCCATTAATATCGCCTCGGATTTCACCTTTCCGTCAAATGCCCCGGAGTTGGTCACCCTAATCCTTGCGATCGAAATCCGAAAGAAATTTCCTATCTCGATGCGTTCCTTATCTTGCTGATCCGTGCGATCTAAATCTTCTTTGGACAAATTGTCAGAAAATTGTTATTGTCATTTTTTATAATGTTGCCATTGTCAATCCAAATCCAGAATTTTGTGTGAAAATTGATATTTCGTGGGGGCTAGGGCGGTTGCCACTTTCACATCCCCTTAATGTCAAGACCAAGTCAGCTGATCGAAATATCTGATTAGGCAATAAAGTCCTAGGGTAATTACTCTACCCCATGGTTAAATATATTCCATTCCCCACCCTTTAAAACCATGGATTTCGTGATTTCATAATGAAGGGTGACTCGTCACAGCCGGGTAACCACCTCGTCTAGTGTAACGTTCGCAATGGTTATTTACTGGTTAGTATGACCAAATGTCGACCTTACTGTCGTTCCATTTAAATTCATTACCGTTTGGGGAAGAGTAATGTGGGAACCGAGTAAATTTTTAAGTGATAGATGTCAAACACGGTCGGACCTGGAAGAGACGTTTTTCTATTGTCTTCGTAATTGTCACTGTAATTGCACGTTTTTTAATTAGCCTCGACTGCTATCTTCCCTACATCTATCGAAAATTAGTTTGTGTTTAATTCATTGTCGTTATCAATTTGTTCATTTTTTATATTATAGAAAAATTAAATTGCGCGAATTTTAATGTCAGGATTCAAAGATTATTGCGAACGGGAGCTTCGTTGAAATTCAGAATGAAGTTATGTCTTCAATCCGACGGCAGGGTTCTTAATCAATCTGTAAGAGTTTTATTTAATGAGGGATCAATTGGGTAAATCATTATTTAAATATTCGACGTGAATCTTTTGAGCAATTCCATGGTGCAGACGAGATAAATGACCCCAAAGGAAGAGACTGCACAAATTCAATGTGCACAATGACAACCAGACCCGATGAGTGGTTAGCACTATTTGAGGAGCACATTTTGACATGATAAAAACTGGAAGGATTCATATCCACATCCTCGAGGCAGTTTTAGATTATCCCGAAAGGACAAATCAAGGGATCCATTCTATCTAACGTCGTCCCCTTTTCGCCGACGGGGCGCAAGAGCACCATATCACCACCAAAGTGCTTTTCTATTAAAATCGCCTATCGTTAAAAGTTCCAAGCGTGGGTGGTCCTCCGTCAGAAAACCTGAGAAATCACCAATGAACCACAATTTCCTAACTCTTTTCCGTCCTAACCATCGTCATCGGATACCGTGGAAAGCTGCACCACCTACTCCGAAACATCACGTCCTCCACCTAACAACGTTATCCCGCTCATGGGACACGATCACGACCGGACCTCACTTTTCCATTCCCCTTTCGACCACAATTTCCTAACTCTTTCGGACCTAACCACCTCCCTCGGAAACGAAGGGTACTTAGACTATGGAAGCCTCGATGATGGGCACCTTGCACCTCGTCGGGACGTCGCTCGTATCCAGGGCCACATACCGGCGAATAGCATGGAGAGGTTCGTGAAAGCCGTAGTCCTGGGTAGTTCGGCAGCGGTGGTGCCGTTGCCCTTTAGGTCCAACATCGCGGCGACCGGGTCGGCCCTGGGAGGTGTCTTGGGCTTCCTCTAAGGTCCGGCACTAATAGACGTACAAGGGTCCCGAGAACTGGGCACCATCCTCATTAGCCTAAATGATTGCGGCGCGATGGTAAGGCGACCATCGTGGCTTCCCACACGGAACGATACTGGAAGCCGTCCCGGTGACTTTGGGTGGCGTTCCGGGGAAGCCGGCGACCCGCCCCCGGAACCGGAGCAGATCCATCGACGTTCGGACGCCTCGGGGGCGGCGCGATTCCGCAACCCTGGACTAGGGGCGGAGTTTGCCCCTTTTCGAGTCGGTGGAAGAGGGTGCGCCCGCGCACCAGCAGTCGAGGGGACCTGGTGCGTCGTCGCTTCGGTGCCGGTGGCCAACTTGGAGGCGCCTCCACGAGAGGCTCGGGGGTCGTCAACCACCGGACAAGGGCCGGACCAGACGCCGACCTGACCTTATGTCGCGATCGGGTGCTACCGTAAACCACCCACCCTGGATGGCGACCATCCCCGAAGCTTCGGCGGAGTCAGTGCACGTCGGCCAGTCTCCCCAGCGGGGGTTAAGGGTTCCGGGTGGGTCAGATCTCTGAAAACCTTGGATGTCTGGGTGGTGTTTTAGGTTAAGTGAGTCCTAGGTGTCCCTTCGGGGTACCCCAGGTTCCCAGGGGTATTCTGTGACATATGCTGCGAATTTGTGCATCATTCTCTCGGCACTTTGGGGGTCACGCGTCCTAGAAATCGACGTCATGCATCCTGCCATTTATAAGGGATGCGCTATTGTCCCGTGAATTATTTCCTGAAGTTGTCCGCTGTTTCTCTGACAAGCTATCGATAACCCGAGGCGTGTGCGATTGTTTTGATATCTCATTGTGCGATAATGTAGCCGTCATCCTTTATTTATTCTCGAATTTTGCCCACGCTTTTCGGATGTTCCGAATTGTCGTGTCCGTTCCCTTTTTCCTATTATCTCGATTGCAAAAAGGTTCTAAAAGGTATTTAAGGTGACGTTCTAAGTTCTGCAGGATTTTTTCTCCACTTCTGATAAGGCGATAATGTAGACGGCAGACTTGACATGGGAATTATAATTAAGTCAGGCACGATTTCCCTCCTTCTCAAGCGTTCCCACGGACAGTTCCCTGCTTTCCGAAAAGAAGAAAAAAAAATCCAGGAGGCAATTAACTCCACCTAACCTCACTTTCTCACTTAATGTAAGCGCGTGCCTCGTGCGTCGTGATTCACGCGATTTCGGTCCCACGCAAGGGCAAGGTGCAGACATTTGTTACGATTTATCGTAGCGCTCTGTTTCTCCGCCCTTAAGTTGATACGAATACGAAACTTCATTAATGAAATTTAATTTTTCTCTATATAAATACGATCTCGTTCCTAGCCCAGGCTAAATAGAAAAGACACGCGGAATGCTCGTGTAATTGACAAATAAGACTTGAATATAAATGTCGGCAGCTTATGTCGCCATTTGAGTATTGAAAATGGCGTTACCACCAAAAAAGCATCCTAACTTTTTGAAGGATCTTTTGGGGAGCGACACGTAGGATATCGGTTCCTCGTGGTAGGTCGACGATTGGCCATATCGGAAGGTAGCGTTCCAGGTTGCGGCTCCGCGTGCGGCTCCGCGTGCGGCACACGCGTGCCTTCTCGTGGCGGGGGCGTCCCCTTCTCGCTTCGAGGAAGGCACGCGCGCGACACGCGACCGCGGACGCCCGGCGGCGCATTTAACGCGCGATCGCTCTCGAGTGTGTCCAAGTCGTGTGACGCCGCTCCCTTCGGACCCTTCGGACCCTTCGGTTCCCGGCGGGAACGGAAGGGAACGGAGCATTGTCCTTCCGGAACCCCCACCTCGGAGATGTCCTCTCGTCGCAGTCCGGCTCGAGGTCGGTTGGAGTCGAGTCGAAGGAAGTATCGAAATTCCCGGTTCCGCGTACTCCACGTCCAGGAAAGCAAAACGCTAGCTAATTTGGCCCTGGAGCTGGCTCGAATCGCGGCTCCAGCTCGGAAGGGAGGTTCGCCACACATTATCTTGAGATACGGTTACGGGTATTACCGGGGGGCGAGTAGGCGAGTAGCAAGTCGGGTATAGCGGGCACAGTCGAGGGTGAGTATCATTGTACGGCATGAAACATGACAGGGCGTCCATTGTACCCGAGACGCATAGCTCGGCCCGGTCGACGTTGGGCGAGAGCTCCCGGTGGGAGGAAGACCGAGATATTCAGCCCGGGAACAACCTCCCTCTACCTCCCCTTTCCTCGCTACTACCATAACCCGATAAGAACCACGCCACTTTGTTACGTTTGGGGGTCGCTTAAGTGCGCGATGATACATATCTCCCTCCTAGATAATTCCTCCTATTCAATTTGCGCAATATGCTCGATCCAGCTCGATATACCGAGGGATGGTACTCGTTACACCGGTGATAGAGGCTGAGATCCCAATTTGATCGGCACGCGAAAATGGCCCGTCTTGATGACCACCAGGACGGGTCGTTGCGGCTGATCATGAAGGGCTGATACCACTGATCATCCGTTTTGCCTTCTAATCGCGACTTGGGAAGATATCATCCCTGATGTTGGTGGTCTTGTCTTTTAGACATCTTTTGGACGTCAACGGGCTCTCCCATTGTTTCGGGAAAAAGGCTCGCGAATGCGAAAAGCTTTCCGAATAAAGAAACGACAGGGTAATATGTCAATCGATCCCAGAGTCGTCGATTTTCCGGGGCGATCGGGGGTGGTCTCGGGTCACCAGGAACGCCGGGGTTCCTATAAATCAAGCCCGACTCGAGGAAAAATGTCCAGCAGGGGCCATCTTTTATTTGAAACAACTAACCGTGTCAAAACTCCGCTTCCTCCGCGGGGGAAAAAAAGGGATTCAAAGGGGTAATCTAAACTCGGGCTCCCCTCTAGCGGCGTCACCCTTT